ACTTTCAACTTCACCTAATCAAATCAAATCGATTTTACGTGAGATCTCAATAAATTTTGAAAAATCGAATGTCCATTTCTTTGCAAGTTTGCACGATGAAGATGCTGTCTTACAGTCTACTCTCTAGCAGACTGCAAGATTAGAACCATAATAAAAGAGAGAGAAGTGGATTCAATAACAAGAACCAACTTCCTTTGATGGTTTTGATCTTATTGTTCTTTATCGATCAGATTGCAAGACAATTTTTGCAATTAATATTGGCAGAAAAATAAAAGTCAAAATCAAAAACTAAAGACCAAGACTTAGCAAGTCAAGAACACCTAATTCTCAGCTTTTTTTTTTTTTTTTTGGCCGTGTAGAATGGGTTCTTTGACGGTAGAACCTGCGACAAAGCCCCTCTACTTTAATTATTGTGGCATGATTGCTCCTCTACTTAAAAGTAGTCCAAAATGACCCCTCCACTACTCGAATTCTACAGATCATGACATCAGAAAACATCATCTTTCTGCCTGTCTCGCTGTTACTCGATTAACAAAGGATACGGGTTGAGGATATGGCGCTTAATTACTTGTACAAAAATAAAAAATAAAAAATAAAAAAACATCTACCATTGTTTTCCCTTTTCTCACATGATTAAATATTTAATTTAAAATATATAAAAAAAAAAAGAAAAAAGAAAAAAGAAAAAGAGAAACCCATCATCGGAGAAACTTCTGCTCCGGCAATGGGATAGCAGATGGTGGTGGTGGTTTCTGGAAACCTCAACCAACATGGCTAGGGCTTCGATCAACAAACACTTTAAAGAAACAATAAAGTGGGCAGATCTGGAAAGCTGTAATTCTGCTCAATTTTCTTTCATTTTCTCAGTAACCAAACAAGAATAAAGCAACAAAATCAAAATTTTAACCAACTCCACTGCTTGAATCATATATTCTTCACTAAAACAAAATCATGTAAAAAAAATTGCATTCTTCAAAGTGTACAAGATTCAATGAAAACCCACCAGTGAGCTAAAATTCATGAAGCAAGTACTTCCCAACAGCTAAAACCCAGTCACTTCCCAAACACATTGCAAGGATTTAACAAAATTTGCATACCAAGAACAATCACAGTTAATTAAATACCAAGAGAAATCATCATAGACAAATGTTCGACATATTCAAATTCCAAATCATCATCACAACAAAATGTAAAGGCTTGGAAGCAAAATACTCATTCTAACAAATCAGCCCAACAATGTTTGAATATGGATAGCTACCAAAAGAAGGAAAAAGTTATATCTATTCCTCTGTTAATACACAAAATATTCAAAGTAGACCAGAATATTTGTTTCACCCAAAAACTCCCAAATATCAAAACAATCTCACTACTGAAATAGAAATCAAAATTGAAAATGAGAAATGGAAACAGATCCACTCAAACATCAAGTAAGATTAAGAAACAACAAGATTAATTCAAAGCATCACAAATAAAATTACAAAGTAAACAAATTGGGAAGAAATAGAAGAATGAAGAGATCCGAATTGTGTCCCGCACCGGAGTGATAGTCGTTACCAACAGCGTAACCACCATGGTGGTGCTGCGAGCACCACTGATGTAATAGAGTTCCCTATCAAATCTGGAAAATCAAGATTCTAGATCTCTTTTTTTAAAAAAAAATTATGTAAAAAAACTGAAGAATTTGAAAAGAAAATAAAAAAGGGATGAAAATGAGAGGGAAGAGTAGAAGAAGAAGATAGGGGATGATACGGAACAAAGGCTGAATTTTGGTTTTTGATTTTTTGATTTTTTGTTTTTATATTTAAATATATTATATTTGACAAAAAAAATCTGGTGGTATTCTTTTGTCCAGGTCAACTAGTGTTTTTTTGTCCAAGTCAGTGCCATATCATCGCCCAGTCATCCTGACTCCTGAGTACCTTCCCCGTGTGTCCCACCGTCTAAGTTCAATCCCCTCTTCTTCCTCCCCCGATCTCCACCTCCGGAAAGTCAAGAGACCCAGATTCTCATTGTCCAATACTTTCTTTGTACCCTTTTATTAGTCATGGGAGAAGGGAATGGGCAGAAATCCATGATGGCGCGTCAGAAGCACATGGAGAAGCAGAAAGCTGTAAAGGGTATGGCTTTTTCTCGTTTCTTGTTTTCTTCTTCCCCCCAAATTTAGATGGGTGTTTCTTCCTTACCTTTCATCTAGGTTCTTTTAGATCTGTGCCATATGCTTTATCTGGTGCTTGCATGTTAATTTTGTTACTGCAGGAAGCCAGCTTGAGTCCAACAAGAGGGCCATGTCAATTAGGTAGTCTCTGTGCATGCCCTTAATACAATGGCTAATTTGCTCAAATCAAGGCATTTAGAGGCTTCCAAGCCATTTTTTTCTTTGAAAGCTTATGCGAGATAATGGAAAAAGTCTAGGGGCTCTAGAGATGTTTTTGCCATTAGAAAACTCATGAGTGTAATTATATGAATATTTAAGATTAAAAACTCATGTCTTGAATTGAAAGAAGAAAACTATATATTGCATAAAAAAAATGGAAGAAAATTAAATTTTCAATTATGTTAAACGGAGGGTAGAATTTGAAGAAGAAAATTATATATTCAATCATACTTAATGGAGGGTTGAATTGGAAGATTGAGCATTAAATATGCTTTAAATTGTGAGAACCTTAAATAAAAAGAAACACAACAAAAAGAGAAAATTTTCAAAAGGTTAATTAAATTAAAATAAAGGGAGTAAATCTTCTAATCAAGTTTTGTTAAAAAGAAAAGTATTTTGTAAGACATTTTCTTATAGAATATTTCTAAAAATGTCATATTTCAATAATA